CTGGAAGTTCTCATTTAAACAAAATGCGGCGCGCTCTTAAATGGGTTTGAGTTGGATAAGGTTTGGTGTACAAATGGATGTTAGAGCTTATTATGACCGATGAGACCGTTTTTTTACACTTACCAGTGTAGGATAATGAGTACAAGAATGAGACGAGTGAACRCAATTGTCTAAAATGATAAAAATACGTTCATGATTGTTATGCAAAACGTTTGGAGAAATCCGTGATGACATTGATATAATGATTATCTCAAGTGAGTTAAGGCCTGGGTCAGCATATGCAAATTAGATAAAAGTGDTTTAATTTTATATCTCAGTTAATTCTCAAACGATTTCGATAAAACTTTGCAGGTTTGTAGTTTTGAACGACTTTAACATTTTAAGACTGTTAAAATCTCTATCGGCAGGTCACATGACATGTCATGTGACATTTCCATGGAAAGAAATTCAATTGAAAATGGGGTAACCAGAACATACATTGAAAATGTCGGTTTTAGGTTAATATTATCTCTTAGTAGGTTGTCTTCAAGTCTTGTCCTAGAATGGTTGTCCATCACTTGCCGTTAAGGAGATATTTGGTGAAATAGGTCACGTGACCTAAATTCACTTCTGAAAATCTGCTGTTTTCTCCTTATTTTATTTAGAAAGTCATCCATTCTAGGACAGGTCTTGTTGGTTTAGGTCTACTAAATACTTTGAAATCAAAAAAACTTTCATTAAAGTACATTCTCATTACCCCATTTTGAAATTACTGTTTTTTCGTMTTTTGGGTCACGTGACCTCCATATTTGGACAAAACATATTTAAAAATTCCAAGGATCATGATTCTCTTCATGACACCAAAGCTTATTCCTCTACAGTAAATGTTAGTTAAAATATAAYGTTTTTAATTTTTTTGATATCGCCTAAAATCCCAGGCCTTAACTCACTTAGGTTAATGATAACGATGAAATAGCGATTGTACCTCGGTAACTTGAGCGACCAAATCACGAAGTCTGTGAAAACACTTTACTGTACAAGGCTTAAAAAAAGTGGAATCAATAATACATAAAACATTCTTCACTATATAATTATTCATTCATGGAATACTTACAAAGTCGTCAAGTGTTAGCTCATCTTCTTCTTCAAATTCATATCCCAGGACCTACAAGAAAAGCTTTCAGTACATTTTCTTTATCCATCACATTGTGGACAAGCAATGACAATAAATCCATATACTAGTACATTTTTGCATTGGGACGATATAGGGTATGTGCTCTTTGAGTGTACAGTATAATGAGCCAGTTGGTTTACCTGACTAAGCATAGTCGTCCATTCAAATGAATCAATTTCACCATCTTCATTCGTGTCTAACATCTCAATTAACTGCATATTTTCTTCATCCAGGTTCTGCAACAAGATCAGTGCATGTAATTACTGACGAGGATTCATCTACACGGTGCTCTACACGGTGCTCTACACGGTGCTCTACACGGTGCTCTACACGGTGCTCTACACGGTGCTCTACACGGTGACATGATAATGTTTGGCGACTCTGACCGCTTTAGTTTAGCTTAACCTCCTCTTTGTGTAAAGCTGCAGGTTAAATCTTTACCTTTGGTTTGAGAATGCGAAAGAGTTCCAGGAATTTTTCATCTTGAACACAAAGAGCACCTATTTCAAAATAATTTCAGTGAGACATAGAGAATCGACTAAAAGAGATCGCAGTCATGGAGCAACTCCATGAAGGGGAAGCGATAATGGATCCAGGATTTTCTTAATTATAAAGGGGTCCGGCTCACTCAAGGAGGAGGTGCACACGAGCAAAAAGGTCGCGAAGAAGACGCACATGGGGGGAAGTATTCAAGAGTACAAGGTCCCAGGGGGGTGTGCACGTCCTTGCCCCACAGGCTGGTGAGAGGGGCGTACGATACGATCACTTTCTTGGACAAGCACTTAATATATTGCTGTTTTCCTACAACCTTTTCGCGGTCTAGACTAAACTTCTTTATGCTAGTTTACCTTGGCCTATAGGATCCAATAGATTCCATGCTTTTGCTAATTCTGCTCGTTCTCTGGCTCGTTCCTTCTTAACGTGCTTCTTTGCAAACACCCTGTTTAGAATAAAATAATATCATGTAAGACAAGACAGGATAGTTCTTGCTATGATGCAAAGCTGTCCGTCATTATGCTCTTTGAGAAGTTAATGTACGCCAGACTGGACATAATTGTTTTGTTGCAATTTTAAACTGATATGCCTCATGAGTTTGTATTCGCAGTGCATGTGATCCGATAGGCATTTAAATTGAAGCCAATTATCAATTATACTACAAAGAACTGCGTAATAATCTCTCTTACCAGTAGCTATCCACAACAATAGCAAGAACAATTGCAGTAAGAAAGAATACGCCAACAAATACGTATGTACCTACAACGTTGGGGAAAAAATACAAAGAAATCACAGAATGTATTCAAAAATTGTGTGGTGGTTAGTTGGTTAGTTTTGGATTGGTTCAATGGGCGTTTCTTTGATTGCTCCAGACTCGTACCCAGTCATTACGTTTATTTTTCGACACGCTCGAAGGCTGATAGGAAGGAAAGCGCCCTTCCCCTCATGAATTGCGCGCTGCTGAAGAGAACCGACTGGTAACTATGGATACGAGTCTGTGCTTGTGTCTTGTTGGTCTTCTTGGCGTCTTCTCTTGCTCGACGGTATTTTCTTATAAATTTCTAATAATTATCAATTTGAATTTCCTGTTTTCTTAGTTTTCCGTTAGCTGGTTCCAAAAAAAAACTCCTTACCAAATAGAAAGAAGTACCAAGGTTGAACTCTAAGCGAAGGCAACATCACTTCCTTGAAAACAAAAACACAAAAGCTTAGTGTAACGTTCCTACAACACATAAGTGATCATCACCTAGACTGCAGACATTTGCTCAATCTTCATAACACCCGTGGAAATCAACTGTTCCGTGTTTAATAGGGAGTGCCATAAATAGTACGCCCCCATCCACAAGTATGAGATTTACATTATTCACCCACTTGCTAAGAAAAACATTTGATACACTAATGCCAGGCGCGTAGCGTCCTTTACGCATATACGCACGTGCGTACTAGTGGCAAGGAAACATTAAAATTAAAAAAAAAATACTGGCAAATTCACATAAAATTGATCCCTTTTATATGCGCTCGATGTCTCTCAAAACACTGGAAATCGCATTTTGAGTTATTATTTCAAATTTTCCTGGGGGAGGTCCAGACTCCCTGAATACTCCCGCCCTTGTCAGTCGTTAGACCCCCAGATCCAAAATATGTGCCACGGTCCATGACATGTGCGTACTAGCCAAAACGTCCACTCTACGCACCTGAATGCGGTCATCGTTTACGACTTTTGCTCGACCGTCCATACTTGTAAGTCATCAAACCTGTCCTTCTACTGATTCTCCCGTAAAATATTACGCTTTTGCGCTGCTGAACGGCGTTTTCCACGTGTATTCAACTTAAAGATGTTTTCACAACAATGCCCAGCGTTATTAAAGAGAATTGTTACAACGTTAACGGAAGATTACGTACATGGGGACTGAAGGAAAAGATCTAAAGTTATTACTTACTGGATAGTTATTACTTACTGGATAGGTATTACTGTCATTACTTACTGGATAGTTATTACTTACTGGATAGTTTTCTGTGGACAACAAAACAAACAAGCGTAACATCCCAAGGCCAACGTGGTCAAATGTCCTGAAGAAAAATAACGAACTGATGGATTATGGATCTAACAAGTAAAATTTCCTTTCCATGACAGCAAAACAGAGAGTAACAAGCAATACAACTTGTCACAAGCAATATCGCAAAGATATAGGCGTGCGAAGTACACTAGAAACACTCAGGCACGCAATATTTTTCGTAACTGCTATGCAAACAGATGAAAGATTTGTCTTTCACGCACAATTCCGAATAAAGAGCTTATGTCTTACCCGTTGTAAATTTGCTCCTTTTCATCAATCGTACAAGTGATCTCTCTCCTGTAAAATAATCAAATATACCTCATTTAAATAACCTGGTCGTGGAAAAAGTTAATTGTCCGACCGCGGGATATCATGGGATATCTACTGTATAGATTTATAGGTATCCCATGAGACCCCGCGGAAGGAAAACACAGTTGTACTTTAGTTCACTGATTACACGTATAAATATAAGACAAATTTTTAACGATAATTGAGCATTTCTCTCAGTCAAAAACTATCTGTGAAGAGTAACGTATGCTAAAAACAATCAATGTTGAGGTAGAGTGTGGGGGTCTGAGACTCCCAATTAGTAGGACTTATTGTCTGGCCAGAGCGATTTGAGACGTTATTTCTTAATATTTATTTTTTACCCAAGATAGTTYGCCATCTGATTGGTCGAGTTAGCAGCTTTTGAACAGTGATAGACRTCCATCAACAAATATAAGCAAACACAGGAGGAAAGCCACACGAATACCAGAATAATTGCAAAAACCTTTGAAAGAACAACAATGCGGAGAATAACAGTAAATTYGTTATACAAGGATATTCACACTGCATCAAATTCAGTCAGTTACAAACCTTTGATAATTTGAAACCTATTGTGACTAGAACCTAAAGAATTCAAATGGTGCATCAATAAGTGTGAGTAATAGTTGTGTTGCCACTWACAAAATTTGTGAAAGTGAACATAATGCATAATGTAATGCTGTTTACAAATAGTGATTATAATAGATACTGATAAATAAATATCAGCAGCAGTATTTTATGGCTTTACGTATGTTTTATGTTGTATTTGAAAACGACCAGCAATACGATCAATATAATAGTATTATTCCTTTGTAGTTATGTATAGCAATTAAATTTATGTCAAGTGCAAGTAGGGTTGCATGTTATACAATATCAATGCAATATTTTCAAAAACATACCATCAAAATATGTCGTATATTCTTTGCTTTGCATAGAATTACMGCTAGTCTAAAACACCGGAACACTTGAGGGATATACTGAAACAAATCGACACACATCACTATTGATAATGTATGAAAAACGTATAATTTTCGTCTTGTATCATAATTAAAAATAGGACTGCAGTGCTGTACGGAACGGCACCATGGATAAAATAGAAAAAATAGACGTCACTGCCGGTAAAAGCAACTTCTTCAGGAAGTACWTTTTTTCTCATTGAAAATAGTTGCGTGATTTAAAATGAAATGGAAACATAAAAATTGACTGGGGATTGACTCTCATCAGTGTACTCACCGTTTGGGTTAAACCCGAGATTATTAATATGATATAATCAACAACAAACATACAAACAAACACAAACTGCATTCTGAAACAAGAAAATATATGACATATGACCATCAAGGTAACTGAAACTCTGGGWAAATGCACAACTCAGATTACATTGGTTGACGTAAAGAATTCAAGAAAATAAAATACTGCGGGACAACTTGTACAACATGTTGATGCCATCTAACATAGCAAAGCAAACTACTAGCGCACTCAAACATGAAACGCAAGATGCAACGCAACGCAAGTTGGTCAGTGTGATAGATGTGTTGAACTATTAAACGACTTCGTAGAAGCAAAATTGTAAGCACAACGATAACAAATATACAAAACACAACCTTAATATTACCATCGACGTGTTTCGGATTTTGCGACACTCTCTAGAGAGAGTGACTTATAAATATTCTTACAGCAAAATATACGGCAAAACGTGATCAAAACAAGTTGGTAATAATAAGGCTTTCTTTCGTATGTTTAAGCTTATATGAGGTTTCAGTCATACGAACCCATTCCAAGCTCGAGCTTCTGCTTTAAGCGACCAAAATACTGGCCAAGTAAGAAATATAATGTTGATAACCAAGTCAAAAATATAAAGTATAATACAAAACAGATTGAGGACAAAAACAAGCGGAGATATTCTGAAAGAAAAGAGAACAAAAGCCGATTAGAACTCGGACCACTACAGGAGACTAGGAGATGAGTATTTCGCGCCAAATTCAAACGGATATTTTCGCGTCGCGCGCCCGCTCACGGCATTATTATAAACCAACCACTGAATAAAGTTACCTGTCAAGWGGAACTGATGGAGGCTCAAAGAATATTACAAATGAATGAAGAATGCTGTTGAAGATCATGATTCGTCGAAACCAAGGATTGTTAAGAATATTAAAACACCTAGAACATTAACAGACTTACATAGTAAATTGCTGATGAAAGAAGAGAGGGAAAAATGGCGGAATGTTTACAAAAAGTTGGGTTGCCACTTACATGTAATTACATACAGTACGTGCAATACAAGTGTAAAATGTAAAATAAAGATTTTTTCCTGTCTAGACATTTTAGAGAAGGAGAAACGGTGAGGATACATGGAGTATCCTAGTTTAGCTCAGCCTAGACAAACCAAATGGTGAACGTTTTCACTATGAGTCATTATTAAAGATTTTTATTATGGAAAGGAATGTACGCTTGCCTCAAGCGCAATGTCCTCCATAGGATTAGTTTCAAAATTCAATAAAAACCTATGTATGTCCCGCCCTGGATAGACACACTTTTAAAAGGATTCAAACGTGTTACCTGCGTGCAAGACGGGGTTTAAAATAAGATCTTGCTTTTCCATAACTTCCTCTGTAAATAAAGAATTGTAAAGATATAACAATTTAGAATATAATAAAGAATTATTAATCAAACTGTAATAATATCTGACCTGCCATTTAATGCGTCGTCTATGTGAGCTGCTGCAAGCTTCAGTTCTCGATGGTTTCCTTGCAAGTCTCCAAACTGTTGTGTAAGGGCGTCCGCCTGAGAWTAAGAAACCTTGTGGTCAACTAAAAAYATTACACCCATGTGTCGGTTTCTATGGGCATWACAGAATCCCTCAAGAATTGTTTGAAACACACAAAAYAAAACGCTGTTTACTAACGTTCTGATWGCTTATTAGCTAGCGCATTTTCCTGCGATTGGTMAGAACTGCCTGGCCGCTTACCCACAAAAAGATTTTATTATTTCAGTACCAGAGCTGTTCAGCTACAAAGTTGATCCCTAAACCGCTTAACATTCTAAGGCAAAACCTAGAACTGAACGATTGTCGGAGACTCTAAACAAAAGCAGAAGTCCTTATAAAATTTACCTCTAATTTTTGATTGGTGAGTCGGGCCTTTAAGAATTTGAGTAATGAAAATTGCCCTTGAAGTATAAAGTATGCCAAGGGTTCGAATTGGTGAGCTATATACAATGCTATATCCAGCTCTAACTAGGGGAAAACTTGACGAAAAATGGCACCTCTTCTCGAATAAAATAAAAAGAGGCTGTAGGAGAATTATTTTGAATATTAAAAATGATAAAAATAAAATTGATATAATATATTAATTACATAATCATATCAAACGATGATCTTAGTAGACTGATATCGTAGAGTCTCTCGAGACTTGCATGTAATATGAAATTGGTTAAAAAAATTTAATTGTCTGAACGGCGGAGGAAAAGAGAATTTG